ACGACTTTGTTTTGACCGCACCTGCTGTGTTGGTCCCCCACCTCTAGACGATCTCAGAAGGCACGACCCGCTGGTTTTCCAGCCTTGCTCAGATCTTGCTCTAGAGTCTCCTACTAGCCCAGCCTCCATCAAGCCCTTACTTTCACACTTACTTTAAAGCTTCTCTCCATCCCCCAGGCCTGGAAATCCTAAATGTCTCATGTCTTTCTACCTATTCTTTTGTTCCTCCGGCCTCTGGCTCCTCCAGGACGGGGTATGGGCAGCAAAGACAGGTAAAGGCCAGAAACTGCCCATCTGACTAGGGCTATTATAAATAGACATTGTGAAGCGCCATGGGTGACCCCTCAGCTTTGTTAGGTTCTTTTGAGACCCTGAGCTGGGGGGCAGTGGGCATGCGCTCTGTTCCTTAGCAAGGGCTACAAGGGTTCCTTAGCAAGGGCTGCAGCCCTGCAGCCCACTCCTTAAACTCGCCTCCGGTCCAGCTTCTGTTTCCATAGCATCCATGGGCACATATACCATCCCCCACCCCCACCCCTGTGCTCACCTGCCCTGGCAAACAGAGCTTAAAAGCCTTTTTAAAGAAACTTAAAAATAATTCAAGCCAGTTCTTTTTCCATATGTTCATTCTGGTCCCATTCTGCTGGAGAGATCCTCGGAGACACCTGGTGGGACAGAGGCTGATTCCTTTGCAGTGTTCATCTTGCTCAGCTGTGAGGAGCGGGACAGCCAGCACCTCTCCTTGGAAATTTTCCAGCCTTCTTAACTGTAGGAACCCCATACCAAGCACACCAGGTCCCTTCACATAGCTTGAGGAGAAGGGAAATGCCTAGAATGCCTGGGCAACTCTCTCCCTAGTGTCTTCACTACTAACTCTTAGAACAAATCACTTAAAGACAAGTGACTGATAGACTCAGAAAGGCAGATCTCTGATTTTTGGTGTTTTGTTTTTCTATTTAACAAGTCCTGCCTAAGGGGCACCTGGGTGGCTCAGTTGATTAAGCATCTGCCTTCGACTCAGGTCATGATCCCTGAGCCCAGTGTCTTCCTCTCCTTCTGCACCCCTCCCTCGCTCATGCACTCTCTGTCTTTCAAATAAATAAATAACAAGTCCTGTCCAGAAGTTCCAGCACCTTTTTTAAAAAGGGAGTGTTTTTGTCACCTATTTTATCATTTAAGAGGCTTCATTTGTACCTAACGTAACAAGAGAAGTCCTGCATTACCTCTCTGTTATTCTTAATAAAAGTAGTATTTTTAAATCTGTATCGTGCTGGGGCGCCTGGGTGGCTCAGATGGTTGAGCGTCTGCCTTTGGCTCAGGTCATGATCCCGGGGTCCTGGGATCGAGCCCCACATCGGGCTCCTGGCTCAGCAAGGAGCCTCCTTCTCCCTCTCCCTCTGCCTCTCTCTCTGCTCATGCTTTCTCTTCTCTCTCTCTGTATCTCTGTGTCTCAAATGAATAAATAAAATCCTTTAAAAAATTTTAAAAAATAAAAATAAATAAATAAATAAATAAATAAATCTGTATAGTGCTTTCTCAGGGTACCACTAGACATTGTGTTCTATGTAGACGGCACCCTGGAGTTGTGCAGTGCACAGCTTGTGCAGCTGAGCTGACAGCCTTGTGCTTTATGGTTTTAAGAGAAATTGTCCCTTTCACATATAGAGTAGTAGTAATTATCATAACAACCGTCACTACCATTTTTTTAGCATATAGGATGTACCAGTATATATTATACAGTATACTCTTATACATTATATTTAATCTTCACAAGAAGTCTGCTTTCAAGTAAAGAAACCAAGGCTCAGTTTCTTGCCCAGCAATAAGTAGTCAGCATTCAAATCCAGTCCTGTCTGTCTCCCCAGGCCATGTTCTTTCTCCCTTTTCTTTTTGGATCTAACCACTCATTCTCCAGATGGGCAAACTGCAGCCCAGAGAGGTTGCACAGCTTGCTCTGAGTCACACAGAGTCTTCCACTCTCTTTCACAGAACTTCTAGGAACTTGGTATGTGTGTAAGAAAGTGGCCTTAAAGGAAAGTCTCAGGGAGACATAATCATGTTGAACACACACACACACACACACACACACACACACATACACACACACACACACAAACATATAGCTCAAGCTCTTGGGGGGCATCTCTCTGTTCCTTTGCCTTCACGCATGCTTCTCTTGGCATCTTGAGGGGAGGTGGGGTTGGGTGGCAGGCAGATCCCAAAAGAGGGAAACCCAGAATGTATTTCCCATGGACAGGTGTTTGGTTCTCTTAGCCTGGATTAATTGGAAGGAAAGTGTTTAAATGTGAGGAGAGCTCAATGCAAATCTGGAAAGTGAAATTGGAATTCTGTAGCCTAATAGTTGTGTGTTTTCAAAAATGAACATTTCAGGGGCTGCTGGGAGGGCTCAGTCGATTGAGCTTTTGACTCCTGATTTCAGCTCAGGTTATGATCTCGGGGTCGTGAGATGGCACCCCGGGTTAGGCTCCATGCTGCGAGTGGAGTCTGCTTGAGTTTCTCTCTCTCCTTCTGCTTCCCCTCCCCCCCACTGCTGGCACATGCACACATGTGCTCTCTCTCTCTCTCTCAAAAAAAAAAAAAAGAACATTTCAGATTTTTGGTTCTTATTAAAGAATATGCTCATGTAGAAAATTTATATGATACTGCAAAGTATAAAGAAAAAAGTAAAATCCTGTTATCCAGAGAGACTAATAGGATTTGTTTGTTTATTTTTTTAAAGGTGACAAAGGGAAATTTCATGTTGATTTGTTCCTTGCAGGCTGTCCTACTGGGGCTGAGGTTACAGACATTTTTCAATCCTCGGGAAGTAAGCAAGAGAACAGGGAAGATTAGAACTTATGTTGCATAACAGGGAGAATGGCCTACAGAACCTGAATCTAGAGCTGTTCTTAGACAAATTATTCCTTTTTCTGAATCTTCAGTTAAAAGTCGATCTTTTCTCTCTTAATTCTGTACTAAAAGTGATTCGCAGGTTTGAAAAAACAAATCCTCCATTGTAGTGAGGGCTCAATAAATGCTCTGAGTTTAAATGGAATGAAATAGATGGACAGTGGGGCCAGGGACCGGTGTGTTAGATTTTATGACACTTGGTCTGACTGAAGAATGAAGGCCAACACATGGGTGGGTCACACAGATCTGGCTCTGCCTTCCTAGTTGTGTCAGTTTGGGCAAAGATCCCTCACGTGCCCAGACAGAAGTTGGCGCCAAATACAAGGCAGCCCTAAACTTTCCAAAGGGGAAATCCTCCCATAATATTTTGGTCAACCTGAACACAGAAAACATTTAGTGACATAGATAAAACTGTGATATGCTTATTCAATGTGTGAATTTAATACATACATATTTAATATCATTAATACAATTAATTTATACAAAATATTAACTTGAAAGTACTGTTTGTTTCCACTCTCCTGTTCCATGAAACAAGTCAATTCCAACTCTTCACCCACCTCTTGATCATCAGTGTCTTCATTGTCAAGAGGACTTTATGAGGCATTCTCACTTCTGTCTGGATTGCCGGAGATTCTCCTGGACCCGGTATGGGATGCGGTCACTGGAAATTTTAGCCCAAACTACAAAGTGCCCATTCGCATAGCATTAGCTCATGTTTGCTCTGGTCTCTCCAACATAACCACTCACTGTTCTGCTTTTTAAAGTGATCATAAAAGGCTTGTTTGTGACGACTTCCAACATCGCAAATGTGAAGTCACACTCCCAGGAATAACTAACAAATCTGTGTTACATTTCCTCACTTCTTTTTGTATCAAGAGCTTCCATAGCTTCCAAAACTGGCATGAATTAAGGGTATTTTAAGCTAATGTCTTCCTCAAACTGTAACATGGTTGTTAAATATAAAGCAATTTGGAAAGCATTGGCGTAACATGTGAGACAATGCAAGGATGCTATGATATTGTGATTTATATTAAGAAATATATATATTTGGTCTTTGTCCCCATTTCTGGTACTGAGCTCCTAAAACCTTGGAATTTCGTAAGTGATAAGAGCCAAAAAGGAGAAATGGATGTCTTTTGTTATTCCTACAAAAAGCCCCTTCGACCATACCTGAGTTTACATGAATGAGGGGATTTTTGGAAAGTCCCAAGATGACCTTAGGATGGGGACTGGTTGCTGGGGGCCCAACCAGTTCCATCCCTCTCCCCCGCCACCTGCCTGACCTCTGGGGAGGGGAGAGGAGCTGGAGGTTGAATTGATTGCCAGTTGCCAATGATTTAATCAATCATGCCTTTATAATGAAGCCTCCATAAAAACCCAAAAGGACATGGTTCAACAATCTTCCGAGTTGGTAAACATGTGGAGGGGCCATGAGAGAGGTGTATCCAGAGAGGTGGTGGACGATCTGCACCCCCTCCCACGGAACTTACCCTATTCATCTCTTCCATCTCACCGCTCCTGAGTTACATCCTTTTATAATGAACTGGTAGTGTAGTAAGCAAAGTGTTTTCCTGAGTTTTGTGAGCCACTCTAACAAATCAATTAAAGGAGGGGGTTTGTGGGAACCTCTGAATTATAGCCAGTTGGTCAGAAGCCCAGGTGACAAGCTGGACTTGTGATTGGTGTCTGCATTGAGATGAGGAGGAAGGGGGACAGTTTCATGGGACTGAGCCCTTACCGGTGGGATCTATCTGCAGGTAGGGAGTGTCAGAATTGGGTTAAATTGTAGGACACCCAGCTGGTGTCACAATGGCTTGATGTGTGGAAAATCCACACCTCTGGTGACCAGAAATGTCAGAAGTATTGAGTGAGAGTAGTAAAGGGGGTACACAGGAGTGTGTTATTCCTTTATAGACCCAGAGATAAAGTACTTTCCTCTTTTCTGAACGATAATTTCTGGAAAAATACCTGGTCTTACTGATAGGCGTATAGTGGTTAACATCTTTGGACTTTACATGCCTGGGTATAAAGTGCGGCTAATATAAAATGTGGATAATAATTGTAATTAACTGTGGACTCCTTGGGGGCAGGAATCATCCAATTTATTCATCTTTGTCCTCTATGTCTAGCACAGTGACTGATTCATAGGAAGCACTTAGTAAATATTTGTCTGACAAGTGAATAAATCCAAAAACATTCCTCTATTTACAAGGCATGCATCCACTTCTGTCTGCAGACTCTCTTGACACCAGGCTCTTCTTCTTACAGTTCTAGGGTAGGAAGTAGAGAACTTGGTGCAAATCGAGTGATTAGTTAGGCTAATGCCTCACACACATGATACATAATACTCCACACACATTGATTTCAAATCCTACTAAATTTGAATGTATTCAGACAAGATGCCGGTTTTTGGTTTTTTTGTTTGTTTGTTTGTTTAAATTAAGTAAGCTCTACGCCCAACATGGGGCTTGAACTCCCAACCCTGAGATCGAGTCACATGCTCTACAATGTCCACAATAGCCAAACTGTGGAAAGAGCCAAGATGTCCATCGACAGATGAATGGATAAAGAAGATGTGGTATATATACGTGTGTGTGTGTATACACACACACACACACACACACACACACACACACACACACAATGGAATATTATACAGCCATCAAAAGGAATGAGATCTTACCATTTGCAACGACATGGATGGAACTGGAGGGTGTTATGTGGCGTGAAATAAGTCAATCAGAGAAAGACATGTATCATATGACCTCACTGATATGAGGAATTCTTAATCTCAGGAAACAAACTGAGGGTTGCTGGAGTGGTGGGGGGTGGGAGGGATGGGGTGGCTGGGTGACAGACATTGGGGAGGGTATGTGCCATGGTGAGCGCTGTGAATTGTGTAAGACTGTTGAATCACAGATCTGTACCTCTGAAACAAATAATGCAATATATGTTAAGAAAAGAAGAAGAAGAAGAAGAAGAAGATAGCAGGAGGGGAAGAAGGGAGGGGAGCGTGTCAGAGGGGGAGACGAACCATGGCACATACAAAAAAATGAGAAACAAACTGAGGTTTCTAGAGGGGAGGGCGGTGGGGGGATGGGTTAGCCTGGTGATGGGTATTAAGGAGGGCACGTTCTGCATGGAGCACTGGGTGTTATGCACAAACAATGAATCATGGAACACTACATCAAAAACTAATGATCTAATGTATGGTGATTAACATAACAATAAAAATTTTTAAAAAAAGAGTCACATGCTCTACCGACTGAGCCGGCCAGGCGCCCCAGCGAGATGCTGATTTTAGATGCTACTACCTCCATTCGCTTCGGGCACAGCCCCAAGACTTCTGGCTCTGGGACCTGTACTATGTGGAGTCCCAGCTGAGGCAGAGCAAAGGTTTGCTCTGGGAGACCAGTCTGGGCTTGGGATGGGGGTGGGAAGCGCTGGGGCTGGGCACCACAGCAGAGGTGGGAAGGGACCCAGGTATTACTACGACGATAACTGAGACTAGGGACTCGGCTAATCTACTGTGCATGCCAAGTTCAAAAGTAGAAAACACCACTTCTTGGGCTAGTTGATCCAAATACAAAGCAGATTGTAAAATGTTATTCCTAGCGGAAGTCCTCCTGGACTCTGGGGTCAAGCAGACCCAGGTTCAAATCCCATTTCTGCTACTTTAGCAGTGATGAAGCCTTTGATAGGTACCCGCTCTGAGCCTTGGTATGGAAATCTCCAGGATGGTCCTAACATCTGGGTCAGAGCGTTGCTGTGGGGATCAAATGAAAGAGTAAAATGTAAAATGCCTGGAACGGTGCAGGCTCTGTAGCAGGTCCTCACCGGGAAATTGTTCAGTTCTGTTGCTCTTATCTTCCTGCCCAGTGGATAGAGAGGTGTTAGGCATCTTTGATCTCAGGAGAGTCCCCAAGGGTCGGGATTGTGCATCCTCTCCTCTCCCACCAGACTGTCCTCAGGGCACATGAAGAGGAGAGGGGCAGGGAGATCTTAGAGCTGGGACTTTGGAAGGAGACTGGACAATGCCAAGACGAAGGGGACAATGAGACACAAAAGCATTGCTGGAAGAAGCTGTTTTATGTTCCTTGGTTTGCGGTGGGCTTTTAGTCCTTCCCAAGAGGAGGGCCAGGAAGTGATGATCCTGCTGAGGAGGGGTGAGGAGTGAAGGCTTCCTGGGGGAGGCAGCAGGCAGGAGGGAGGGGCGTGAAAGGGGATGCGGAGACCAGGAACAGGCTTAGGCAGGGAAGGCTGAGCTGTGTGCTCAGCAGAGTCAGGAGAGCAGGCCAAGTCACAGGAGGAGGAATGGAGCAGGGAAGGAGCTAATGTAGCCACTGGTAATCGGCGCTGGGGCCGCTGTGTCTGGGCCACCTCATATAATAATTAGAGCTAACGTTTATAGAGCGCTTACCATGGTTATATATCAACTCATTTAATCTTCATTATGACGCTACAAGGCGGTCACTGTTACTGCCTTCGCTGAGGCTCAGAGAAGGCGTGGTTGCGGGTTCCAAGAGGTGAGGCAGTAATCCTTACCTCCCGGTGTTACACCCCTGAGGACTTCCCTCCTGCGCTGAATGCGGGCTTCCCCAGCCCCAGTACTTGCCTGTGACCCTGCCTGCCTTTGGAGGACATGATTCTGTAGCTCCGCCTTGGCACCACTTTGCACATAGCTGGTGGCATTTGCCTCTCTGATATGGGTAAGAGATACTGAGACAGTCCTACCTCACCCCAAGGTCCTGACCCAGCTAGGCCTGCCCCTTCCTGCCTGTCCCTGAGGTCTGGGGAAGGACAGGCGTGATTCTGGTAGTGAAGGAGGGAGGAGGGGAGAGTGCCCCAAGCCCAAATATGTAACTGTTCCTTCTGTCAGGGAATCAAAAAGCCTGAAGGAGACAATAAATATTTTGTTCTATAAATATGGTGGGTAAGAAATTTAAAGAGCAAATACCAGTAGGAGAAAGAAGTAGGCACCAACTTGAACTCACACAAAGTCTAAATTATTTGGAGAGCAGAGCTCCGAGCAGGGAGGGCCCAGAGACTGAGGCTGAGATTGGAGATGAGGGATGAAAGACCCACAGAAGGAAAAGGCAGGCAGAAAGGGAGGGCTTGGCTTGATCAAAACGAGCAATAATTCCTCCCACTAGTCCTGTCTGGAAGAGCTCTTGAGGTCCAACTTCCAAAACCTCTAGCTCTCAGCCAGGACAATGCTGGGTAAGACGCTGACTGAGATGGGGGAGGAGGGTGAAAGCAGTTGGATTCATTCACCGGATGCTGATTTGCCAGAAAAGGAAGTGGGGGTGTCAGGGACATTATTTCCACTTCCTGGATACACATTCAAACATGGAACAACTGAGTCCTAACAGGACAAGGCAATAAAAGAGGCGACCACCCCAGGTGGTACCACACCCAACATATTCCAGAACTGAGTAGGAACTCATAGCAGTATTTTTAAGGCTTCCAGAGAGCAACATCTAGTTGCCACCTCAAATCTAAAGGACCACAAGTATACCTCAAGAATACTTTAAAAAAAAGCCAACTCTAAAAAGGTTGAACACAACCTCTTGATGCCTTTTAATAAAATTAAATAAATTGTGGTACATTCAGACAATGGAATGTTATGTGACCACTCAAGAAACCTAGCTGCTTTCTACATAGTGATACAGAATGACCACCAAGATAAATGTGAAAAAAGTCAGAGGCAGATCATCCTGGATAATACGCTACCTTGTGTGCAAAATACATTTCTACTACATTTGTGTAAAATAATAACATCTGTATTCTTGCATATGTGTAGAATGTCCCCAGAAGAACACACATGAATGTGTATGAGCTACTAAAAATAAGGAGGTTATAAGTCAGGATAGCAATTCTCCCTGGGGGGGCCCCCTCTGGGGGTGCCGCTAATATTCAGTTCTTGACCCACACGCTGGTTACACGATGTGTTCAGTTTATGAAGCTTCATTTGCCTGTACTTAAGATTCATGTACTTTTCTATGTTATACTCGAATACGGTTTTCAAAAACAAAAAAAAATTGTTTTGGGTAGTAGAGTAAGTATGACTCCAAACTCAGGCGGTCCATGAGGCTCTCAGTCCCTCTCCCAGCAGATTCGTCCTGACTGTTACTCACACGCCCAGTTCAGGACAGGGGGTGAAAGAGGCTTAGGTTTCAACGCCCCCCAATCTGGCCTCCTTTACTCTTCCTTCACACTGACCTCAGCCTCTCAGCCTCTTTATCAATTGCTTCAGGACTTTTTTTTTTTTTCCCTTTTCCCCAAACAGATTAAGCCACAGTTGTTCATCTGTTCAACAAAGTCTGCCCGCTATGCAATCTGTGGCTCTCTGGGGCCGGGCTGTTGAAGAAAACCTGCTGGCTATGAAACAGAAGGGGAGTTGTTTTCTTTCATGCCGCTACTTTTCAGTGTGAGCAAGCATATTTCTGGTTAAAAAAAAAAGGGGGGGGAGGCGAAAACTTCCTCTCTCAATCCCTTAAGTTGAGGAGAAATTTTTAAAAACTTACAATTTTCCTCCTACAACGTGGTAATATTTTTCCCGAGGTGGGGGTGTGCAGGTCGCCCCAGAAAGAAAAAAAACAATCAAGTTCTCTCCAGCCCCATTTTCAAATTCGATCCCAGGCATTCCCTTTGAGGGCAGTTGGGTCTTTGCCCAGGAAGTTCAGCAGCAGCCAAGATTCACTCACACCTGGGATATATAACCTCCTGTAGAAGGGGCGGGAAGAAGCCTGGCGTTTATGGAGGACCTAGTGTGTGCCGGCCACTGTGCTCGGCCCTTCACCATTATTACATTCATAGCACAAGCACTAGGAAGTCGTCACGGCCGTTTTGCCCATTTTACACAAGGAAGCTAAACCTCGGGGTGGTTACGTACCTCACCTGAGGTCATACTCTGTACACACCCAACAGGCAGGGGCCTGAAGTAGTCCGTTGGGTGGCCTAGGGTTCTCTGGAGGTGTCTGGGTGGTTCGCACTTGGGGTCTCAGGCACCTGCAGTTAGATGTTGGCTGGGGCTGCAGGTACCTGGAGGCTCCACTGAGCTGGCTGTCCCCACATCCCTTGGTTGAACAAATGAAAGCTGGAGCCGTCACTCAAAGTGTCACAGGTAGCCTCTCCGCGAGGGGCTGTCCCGAGAGCGAGCACTCAGAGAGGCGGGGGCAGAAGCTGCACGTCCCCTCTGGTGCTAGCCTGGCACTTCTACTGCACACTCTTGGCCAAAGCAAACCACAGGCCCAGCCAAGGGAAGGAAGATGGGGAACGGACTCCATCTCTTCATGGGCGGAGGCGTGAAAAGAATGTGCAGCCATCCTTAATCTACCATACCTGGAGAGTGGTGAAGCCAGGATCTGAATCCAGGTCACCTGGCTCCTTCCTTTACAGTCACCTTCAGGCTTCACTGTGCACCTGCTCAACTACTGGAAATGGCCGTTACTGATTCTGGTGCTTGAAAAGGCAGTTAGGTGGCAATATCAACACCACTTAGATACCTCCTGTTAAGGATGCCAGTGCAGTCTGCACCAAGCAGGAAGCTGCCATCTTTTCTAACAGAAGGTGAGTGCCTTCAGAACCATTGAACCCAAGGGCTTCCAACCTTCAGAGGTGCCAGGTGTCCCTCCTTTTGAGGCAGCTGATTCTTCCACCCTAAGATGATGAGCCCTCAGGGCGCCTGGGTGGCTCAGTCAGTTAAGCATCTGCCTCCGGTTCAGGTCATGATCTCAGGGTCCTGGGATCGAGCCCCGCATTGGGCTCCTTGTTCAGTGGGGAACCTGCTTATCCCTCTCCCTCTGCCATTTCCCCTGCTAGTGCGCGCTCTCTCTGTCAAATAAATAAATAAATAAAATCTTTAAAAAAAGAGAGAGAGATGATGAGCCCTCGTTGAACCCGGATGCCTAGGTTAGGAGTTCTCTGGAGGCTTTTTGGCATCCTGAGCAAAGGTCTGTGAGCTCCAAAAATAACTTTTTACCATGGTTCCTTTTAGAAGTGAGAGCCCCTGCCACCCAACCTCGACTACTGTCCCTAGGGTAACCCGCCATCTCCAAGAATTCAACTGCACACTTACTTTGGTTTATCTCTGTTGTGTCTTTTGCTTCTCCAGATTCCTCTGCCGGGCCGTCTGGTGCTCTGATACCAAGGTGGGATGGGTTTCACTGGGGTATAAGAAAAAGCCCAGTCATCCTGGCGCACCGAACTTCAGTCAAGACAGATCAGTAAGGAGCATCTTTGGAAAATGGGGGCATTGTCCCCAGAGGGACTGGAGGGGACTCTATTCCTTTTGCTCCCCTGCATTTTCGGTCCCTCCCTCAAACATCTCACTGATGCCTGCACCATGCCCGGCATCGGCTCCTCCCACATTTCTAACCACCACCCTTCCCTGGCCCCCCACCCCTCTCCTCTGCGAGGCTCCCAGAGCCCCCTCCGGTGCAGAGCCTTCTGCTTCAAGTATTCATTGACTAAAGAAACCTTGCTGTTAAATTTGAGAAAAAGATTTCAAAGCTGAGGGGAGGAGGCGGCTTAGAGAATCTTCATGCTGCAAATTGGAGAGTTTAAAACCTAATTACTGTCTGCACTCAGCCTCAAAAGGCCTCTGTCGATATTTATTGAACGATGGAGCAAACTTTACATTCACATTGTTGGTAAATAAAAAGATTTTCCTAATAAGCAAATCATTAGAAGAGACTGCAAGAAGGAGTTTAACTTAATTAAGAGGATACTTCCCAACCTTTTGTTTTATCCATTCCAAATAATAGGCTTCCGTAGAATGTTCAAGTGTGCCTTAGGTATTTGTTAAAAAAAGTCTAAGACTTGTCTCCATTAGATAAGATTTCATATCAGTTAGTTTGTGTTGGCGCTTAAACGTAATAACAGTGAATGTCTTGTAAATGGCCCTTCTCCTGACTTTCTACCAATTACAAATGATAATAACTTCTATCATCCACCAAACACCCAGAAAATATCCTGGCAAAGTAGATCTTGAGATACAGCTTAGTGTCTTCATGGGTCCAGTAGAGATAGTCATGGCAATTGCATCAGAAAGCAGCCATTGAGAATTCAATGAGATTGTGACAGGAAAATATTTTGACAAATTTACAAAAATTTTTTTTAACTGTGTATTTATTTCCTAGCGTCTCTCGCCCTCCTCCTGATCTGGTCTGTAGTTTTTCCTTATCATCGCCTTGAAGTCAGCTAGCTTTTATTGCCTCAGGGGAGGAGTGATAAGGCAGAAAAGCCACAAAACTACTTAGGAGTGGTAAGAACAAGGCCTTTGGCACTGCAAAATTTAACCCTTGAGTAATGGAAGCATCAATTCTGGGGCATAAATATTAAACACGGAAAAACAGAGAAGTAGGCCTACAAGGATTACCAAGGCTATGGAAGGGAGGAGAGAAACCAAGGGGAGGCCAAACATCGGTAGTGTGTCCCTGAGAAAGAGGACTGCCCCGGGGAGGTGGGGCAGCGGAGCCTCCTGGCTCCTGGGCAGTAGCCTTCGTCAGGCAGAAGGGCTGGGCGGCGAGGTGGGAGTGCTGGGATCTCTCCAGGTGCCGGAAACTGTGGCTTGTTCTTGGTAAAGTGGGAGGTAGTTTTGAGGTAGCAGAGAAAACCATGGCTTTGAGGTGTAGAGCCAAGGAGTAACCCAGGCGGGGGCCTGATGGAATGTCAAGTCTGGCAGTTCGGATTGATAAAGTTAATTTGTACATCGGGACCCACAAAATGGAGGCTCACGTCACAAATCTAAACCCAAGTCTGTGCTTAGGAAAAACATCTGTCAAGGAAACCTAGCATGCACCAGTCACAGTCCTCCAACTCAGCTTCAGCTAGCTTACCTTACCCGAGGAAACAGGACCTGCCAACTCTAGAAGGAAACGCTCATCAATCATGCCCTATTTCCACACTGCCTCTTCTAACACCCTATAAAGCTCACTCTCGCCCAAACACCCTCGGGAACAGTGCTCTGCTGCTAGTGAGGCACGACCCCCCCCACACATGGATTGTTTTTGCCTTGCATAAAGGACATTAAACTCAACTTGTTTTCGTTTTGTCACTTGACAGGACGAACACCAGGACATCAAATCCCAGCTATTTCCCATCACCTGGAAACTCAGACGAAACCTGGGATAGAGCAGGAGCCAAAATCATCTGGAATTAAGTTTCTGCCACCCAGCAGAATGGGCATTAAAAATAGAAGTAAAAACCATTTATTCATTTCTATGTATTTCATCCAGACCATGAGATTTGCCCCAACCCTAAGATAATGATTTAAGTGCCTCATTAAATAGTATGTGCTCAATAAATGCTAGTTACTACTATTACCATCAAGACAAGACACTGAAGAAAGTCCTATTACACACTTTAAGAACGGCCTATTACCAGATGTGAGGGCAAGCTGGCTGAGACATCTGTCATCCCACTGATCACCAGGGTTGATTTGGCTGATCTGGCTGGCTAGGTGAGTGTCCCCTTCTTCCCTCACTACTTAGTGTGTCCCTCCTGGAGCTATACACTCAGCTGAAGAGGATGACCTTCCCCCATAGAGGAGGACTGTTCCTTAGGTCAAGGGTCTACGAGTAGCTGCGCTCTAGAATCTCTAAACAAGCTCTCAAGGTCCATTTGTAGAAGAACCTAGGATAGTCAAGCTTCCAAGACTCCAGACACATCCAAATGAGGTGCTGCTTGTGGCAGTCTACTTTTCCTTGAAAAAGAAAGAAAGAAGGGCACCTGGATAGCTCAGTTAAGTGTCTGACTCTTGGTTTTGTCTTAGGTCATCAACTCAGGGTCATGGGATCCAGCCCCAAGTCGGGCTCTGAGCTCCGTGTTATGTCTACTTGAGATTCTCTCTCCCTCTCCCTCTGCCCCCACCCCTGCTCTCTCTCTCTCTCTCAAATAAATAAATAAATCTTAAAAAGAAAGAAAGGAGAACCAAAAGGAGGGGGGTCATGTTATTCTTGCCAAGGGACACTCAAGTTAGTACTATGAACAGTCATGATGGGAAGATGGGCTGTCGACAACCCAGAGAGCACAGCAAAGGAGAGCCTCCACGACCTGTTTTTTAAAGATTGACTTGACTACTTATGGTCTTCTATGGAAACCACTATATAGTCATCAAAATTAACATCCTTTTGGAAACACAGTGAGACTATGTTTCCCAGTTCTCCTGGGAAGGTGGGTGGGATCATTTGACCAATTCTGGCCAATGGAATGGGGTAGAAGTGAGAGGCTACTTCTTGCTCCCTTAAAGGCTTTCGTGTGCTCCTCTACAACTGGAGCCAAAGTATTCTGAGGACGTAGGAAATGGGCAGAGCTTGGGTTCCTGGGAAGCCCCTTGGAGGAGAGCCATAGAAGTAGGAAACTTGGGTTGGACTATTCCTAAGTGAGAAGTAAACTTTCCTTGGGTTAAGCCATTGATGGCTGTTTGACATAGCAGTCAACTCTAATACACACTGTATATGTTAGAGTAAGGATGTTGAGTTCCTTCCAAACGTGACTGTGACTCCCTACCTTGGAAATCCCACGTTCGACGCTTTACTGCATTCGGCCTTTTTAGCGGCCTTCCCAGAGGTCCAAGAGTGGGTAAGTACAGCAGCAGCTTGCTTGCCTTGTTCTTCAGGATTTAGACATTTAAGAGAGTGAACATGAAATGGTTTCAGCGTAAGAACTTAAAAAATCCTAGATTGAGAGAATTTTAGTGAACGGAAGGTGTATGTGTAGTCATCTGGTTCAACGATTAAAATCAGTGAGGAGGAAACCAAAGGCTTGGGGGCCTGGTACTGAGCTAGGGCCATAGGCTGGATAGTACTAGAATCAAAGTCAGCTCCCCCTTCTTCAGAGCTTCCTCCAAAGTGCCCGTGGATGCATCTGAACATATAGCATAGCATCGCATCCACGACTCAAGCTTTAGAGTTGGCCCAGACTGGGTTAAGGTCCTGGCTCCCCTTCTTACAAGGGAGAGTATTTTACATCTCTAACCATCTCTAACCTTGCCTGTAAAATGGAGAACATAATGCTATTACTTTCCTCTTAGTGTCGTTATATCCGCTACACAAATTAGTGCTCACAGAGGGCTTAGCACACATATGACCCTAATAAAATTTTGTTAGGTTCTTCCATCATTTAAAAGAATACCAAACTCGTATAAAAACAATGCCACAGCCTTAACAGAACAACATCCCACACAGCTTGAAGATTACTTCTTTTGTGAACAGAACTCTGCATTTTCTACTCCTACTTTTGAAGGAGTTCAAAAATATGCTGCTTTGGTATATTGATTCTTTTGAGCTGAAGGCCTTTGAAAAACAGCAGATGCAGGGAGAGGCTCTCTCGGAACTGCCCTCCTCCGCCTAAAGACGGAGCCTGCAAAAGGAACTCGATTGTCCTAAATCCCCAACCTGGGAGTTTCATGCACAGGGGAAGACTGACTCCTATCCCAGGAGAGGAGACTTCGAGTCCACACCACCCCCAGACAAACGTTGTCACACCCTCATACCTCCCGTCTGTTCTTCTGAAGGCCCATTCACCTTTCCCCGAAGCATTTACTCTCCCCTAAGTGACCCGCATCCCCCTCTCCTTCTCTACTCAGACGGTATATAAGCTCTCAAGTCTCATCTCTTTTTCAGGTGTTCGCTATTTTTTCCCTCTGTGATGCCCTTGTCCACGGACTATTAAAAATTAATACATGTGTATATCTTTTCTCCTGTTCATTGTCTGCTGTGAATTTATTTCATAGACCCAGCTATCGAATCTAGGAGGGTAGAGGAACAGTCTTTCCTCTCCTACACTTTATTTGGGGCATTGGTTCCTTTCCTTATATGCCTGATTCTCTCCTCTACCAGATGGTAAATTTCTTGCTGTCTTCTCTCTTTCTCTATTCCGCGGGGCATAGGGGTGTGACTTGCACAAAATGGGTGCTCCCTGGAAGCTTGTTGGGGAGCAGAGCCTAGCATCGGGAAGATGAATGTAAAGACCTTGTGAAAGCTCTAATACCCCATTGTTGGCCAGGGTTGACCAGGCCCCATCCCTGCCTCTCAGCCTGCTCACACTTTGATGAAGAGAAGGCAGTCACTGCTGCTGACTGGTCCTTCTTAGAGATGACCTTGACCTCAATAAGCCCCAGAGAAGGTGGTGGCCCCAGAAATGCCTGACCAGTTCTGGCCACCAGCAGGCAGACCTGGTTTACTGGACTCTCGCTGTCTTCCGGTTTCATCCTCAGGACAAGAACTGCTTTATGAAAACCAGAAGGCTGGAACGTCTTGAAAAGCCTGGCTCCTCTTCCAGGGCCCCCAGTTCTCATGTGCGCGCACCCCTGCCTCTAGTGGCTAGCCTTGCTTTCAGAACCCTGACCATTTTACTCTATAGCAGCACCCCCAGAGCGGGGAGAGTCGGGGAATGTGAAACTCAAATTAGACTGTTCTTCTGGGGAACGGGAAGATTTGAAACTACTTCTCTAAGAATCAGTCTATTTGTTGGTTGGGAATTTGAGGATGATCCTGGTGCATGAGAATTTTCCAAGGCCTCTACAGCCTAAAGGCCCTAAGGGGACCCCCCCATTAGCAGTAAAACTCCAATGTCCTTGGCTTCCGCCCCACCCGCACAACCCAGGACTTTGGCTTCCTCTGGTGCCGGTTTTAGGAGGCCCCAGGGCAGCCTGTGAGCTCACCGTCTTGGCCCTTGAAGCCCAGACAGGCGTTGGCAGTGCCACTCCTGCCAGAGGCCGTGAGGAGGCAGAGGTCCCAGCCCAGAGCACTGGCCCCAGGACCCCCAGCGGCCAGCCCTGCAGACACCGGCTTTACTGCCTTCACCCCTTGGAGGTCCCTACTACCCAGTGAGCCACACCATGTACCCCTTGGGGTGCAGTGAAATGGACCTCTCCCAGGGCCACAGGGCACAGTGGCCCCTGCACACCCAGGGTAAACTCCACCCATGCTACCTGTGCAGTTGTGATCCGAGGCCAGAATCTGTCTCCCGGCAGGCCTGGGAATACAGTGGGGGGCACGGCTGACCAAAGCTGCTTCCTTTTAGCCCCTGAAGCCACAATTTAAGGGCTGCGGGCATTTCCGGGGCTTGGTGGAGGCAGGAAGTCCTCTTGGAGCAGATTTTTTGTTGTTGTTCTAGGAAGATACTTGGAGTGACCCCTCTTGGTCATGTTAGTGGTTAAGTCCACCGTGGGGCAGGGGAGGGGTGCAGCAGGATCTTTTGTGGAAGACAACGTCCCATCTACCACTCTTCAGGTGCGGAGCTGATCTCAAGAGAAAGAGGAGAGCCAGCCTGCAGAAAGGTCCAGGAACTTTCTGGAGCTCAGGGATGCCGAAGTGGCTGAGTCGAACAGGAGCCCACCTCCAGGGAAGCAGCTCTGGATGTGACCTGGGATGGATCAGAAGCCCCGATGGTACGAGGGTTTGCCTAGTCCCACCACCTCCTGGCTTCTCCAGCTGCCCTGTGAGGAAGCCTGACTTTGAGACTAGGGACAGAGCCTGAGGAGCCTCCAGACCAGAGAAATTCAACCCCGCTGCATGTTAGCATCAGCAGAAGAACATCTAAAAGTACGGATGCGGTAGCACTCCAACAGCTGTCTGTGCCCCGATGTTCCTAACAGCATTATTCACAATAGCCGACCAGCGGAAACAGCAATGTCCCAGATGAATGGATGAACAGCATATAGTAGATCCAAACAATGAAATATTATTCAGCCTTTAAAAGGAAGGAAACTCTAATCTGCTACAACACGGATGAACCTTCAGGACATTACACTAGTGAAGCCCACTTACCTGAGGTCCCTAGAGCAGGCAAATTCACAGAGCAGGCAAATTCACAGAGACAGAAAGGAGGATGGTGGTTGCCAGAGGCTGGGGGGATGGGGAGTCCCCACTTGGTCGGTACCCAGTTTCAGTTCGGAATGCTGAAAAACTCCAGAATGGGGGTGACGGTTTGCACAACGGTGTGAATGTAGTTAATGCCACTGAACTGCACACTTAAAACTGGTTAAAATGGTAAATTTTATGTTATGTATATTTTACTATACACACACGAAACAACAATATCAGAGAGGTAATATGGGACTTTAAAAAGCCAGTGACAAAACAGCTTTCTTAGGGAAAGGTGCTGAACCTTCTGGGCAGGACAGGTCAAGTGGGAAAAACAGAAACACCCAAGGCAGAGGCAGGCCCTACACACACACACACACACACACACACACACCCATCAGACTTCCTCTTTTCTTTTCTTCTTTTTTTTTAAGATTTTATTTATTTGAGAGAGAAACCAAGCAATCAAGCACAAGTGGTGGGGAGGGCAGAGAGAGAAGCAGGCTCCCCACTGAGCAGGGAGACAGATGCTGGGCTCAATCCCAGGACCCTGAGATCATGACCCCAGCCAAAGGCAGATGGTTAACTGACTGAGCCACCCAGGCGCCCGGAGTTCTGGCTTTTCTGAAGGCATCAGGCACTGATCCTCAAGCCATTAGTTCTAAATGTTAGTAGTGAAGACCCTAGGGAGAGAGTTGCCCTGGGGTCCTAGGCAATCCCCTTCCCCGCCCCACGCCAGGGGCAGGGACCAAGAGGTGGACCTAGAGTGCTCCACAGGGGTCTCCTGGGAAGGGGAGCAGAAGACGCTGCTCCCCAAAATATGCCATTTGGGAATGAGGACTATTTTGAGCAGATACAGGATAAAGCTCTCTGTCCTCCCCCTATTTGCCCAAAAAAGCACGACAGAGATTTGTAAAGGTATTCCCCCCCACCCCCCTGCCCTCTCCGTCAGGAAGGACAGAAGTCAATCGCTGGAGGCTACTCTAGACCCTGATCAGCCCAGAGACAGCACCCAAGGACTCTGTATCACAAGCCTTGCTAATACTAGCCCTTATCTTCCATTAGTTTCCCTGGATATGTGCCTTCCCACACTCGGCCCTTGGAAGTTCAAAGTCGTTTTCCTTTGTCTTGTCTCTTTTTTTTTTTTTTAAAGATTTTATTTATTTATTTGACAGAGAGACACAGAGAGAGCAGGAACACGAGCAGGGGGAGTGGGAGAGGGAGAAGCAGGCTTCCTGCTGAGCAGGGAGCCCGATGCGGGGCTCGATCCCAGGACCCTGGGATCATGACCTGAGCCGAAGGCAGACGCTTAACGACTGAGCCACCCAGGCGTCCTCTTGTCTCTTTTTTAAAGAACACGTTGTTATTTTGTTCTTCTGTCTCAGAGGGCTCCGTGTGTATGCATGATGCATATGTTAATAAACTTCTGTCTGCTTTTCTCTCATTATTCTGTCTTTTGTCAGTCTAATTTACAGAGTTCCAGCCACTGAACCTTAGGTGGATAGGGGAAGAATTTTTTCCTCTCCTACCCCAGCAGTTGGGAAGACTAGAAATGTTCAAGAGAGCTACTAGCTGCCCCTGCTCCTGACTTCATGGGCTTTGATATTTGCGGAAAGGAGCTTCTGGAGGGACTAGAAGCTTTCACATCTTGAATATTGATCTCAGTAGTAGTTGCCCAGGTGCAAAAATTCATGAAGCTGTATACTTAACATTTGTGTACTTTGTTCTATTTTATACCTCAATAAAAAAAAAAAAAATGCCAATGGCCAAGTTTACCCGTCGGAAATTCTAGATTTAAAT